AAGTGTAGGCCCTTTCGAGTTACTCGACAGTCCTTGCCCCAAGTAGTAGATGACTGATTCCCACGTAGGTACCAATCCAGCTGTAGACTGATTGCCCTCCCACTGAGTCTGCGCAGTACTCGATACAGTAGGTTGCATGTTTTGTAGTACAGTAGCTTGTACATCCTGTTGAACAGTAGGTTGTCCAGTAGGTTGCACTTCAGGTTGTACCGCAGATTGTATGGCAGTCCACGCAAAGTTGCTTCAACCATTACACGCCAACCAAGCTTTGAACACGCCCTGGATGCCCTCACCCGACACTGAACAAGTCGTGGTTACCCGCAGCGCCACCTCCCGCCTACACACCCGCCATACGGACGCCACCATACGCCACTAGGCACATTCGTCCTTGCTTCGTCTCCACGGTCTTCGTGCTGAAAGCAGTGCCACATCCAGGTCGACCTCGCGCGGCAAGGCCACACACACACACAAGCGAAGCGCCGGTCAGCTCAAATTCGTTCAAAAACGACAAGCACGCATAAAGATGTCGACAGCTGTGAGACTTGAACTCACGCGGGTTACTCCAAAAGATTTCGAGTCTATCGCCTTAACCGCTCGGCCAAGCTGTCCTAGCACCCATACAGACTCCAAGCTCCGTTTGCGCTTTTTCTTGTATATTTTAAAGTTAATTCTTATTATTTTTGACGTCAAAGCGAAAAAAACTCCACCCCCTCATAAAGTGATAGTTCAAATGGTCAGGTATTAACAAAATTGGCGGGAAATTTGTTCATTTAAAAATCGTGCTGACACTACGTAAGTAGAGCTTTCAAACTAGCTCAACCACGCTTTCTGTGACGAGGCCACACAGCACCTTGCGCTAGAGGAAGTTATCTTCCGAGAGTATACAAACTCTCAGTGAACGGCAGTTCACAGGCCCCCTCTTTAGTTAAAGAGAGCGAAGTGACCTAAATAAGGTAGATTGTAAACTGAGTAAATTTATAGGTAGGTTAAGTTTGGGTTTAATACAAATTATAAGTTACCTATAGAAATGCAATGTCGTTTGTCCAATGGTTGGCTTTGAACGACCTTGGTACCTTGTACCAAATATCCCGGTGTATGACGTGTCATACACCTGAAGTGTGAAGTGTCACACTTCATGTAGCCAGGGTACCCTTAGGGCTACGTACCCCGTTACATCCTCCCCCACTTAGGTTCGGTTTACCGACCAATCAAAATGAAGAGGTGTTCGTCACAAACTCTCATTCTCAAAGTCGAAAACCATCGACTTGGCCGCGCAGCGCGGCGGAGGCTCACTTCACAGTTAGAGCCTCGAGCTGCAACCTGTGCGCTCTTCGTCTAGGTCTCCAATTCGACCGTTACCATGCCTCGTGGCACTGCAAAGAGCGGTGCTAAGACACGCTCCAAGGCTGCTGCCGTCGTCACCACAGGCGATACCCATGGCCTCCAACCCACATCGAAAACCTTCGTACGACACCATGCCATCCTCTTAAAAAAAATAGATTAGAAAAAAAAGAATACTCTACACTTCAGCTTAAATCTCCTT